CTTGTTTTGCACAATTGTTTTCCTATCTCTTTCCACTATTTTTGGACTGTTTTTGGCCTATCTTTGAACTGTAAAAAAATTTGCTTTTATGACCTAAAAATGGTGGTTTGAGGCCACTTTCAGTTAAGGAGTGGTTCACATTTCTTGCTTCTTTACTTGTAAAGTTTTAATGCCTTTGTTTATCACTTTCAAATCAACTTTTTTGAGCCTTTCAACCACTGAATTTTAGAGGTTTTTCAGTGGCAAAAAACTCATTTTGAAGTCCAAATTTGGAGGGGTTAGCCTCCCTTCTTTGTGTCCTGTTTACATGTCTAATTAGGTTCATATGTTAGCATATTTTTCTAGTTTAATTTAACTCAAGTCCAGCATATTTTTGCCTCTGAAATAGAATGCTTTAGCTCTGTTTTGGCTGGTTCCTATCCCCCTTGAGTTTGCGGGGGGCTGGGGGGCTGTTAAAACCTATCACCTACTTCACCCACTTAAACCTACTCTGCTAAACCTAACCCACTACACCACTACCACCTCCACTTCACCTACTCCTTACCTACTACACACTCACCCTCTTCTATATATAGGAATCATGAATCATTGTAATAAATATCAATAACATAAATCATAATACATACAATTTATTCTCTCTCTATCAATTTATTTTTACAACCAATATTAAGATATACGAAACAATATATTTCTAATTAGTTTAACCAATTTTCACAAATGTTTTATCATTTCAAAACATTTTCCAGCTGCATACAGCTTAGTTTCCAGCTGGCCTTTAATAGATAGATGGATAATGGGTTCCTACATACGTTCTTTATTAGTAAAATGTCATAAATATTTGACTGTTTCTTCTGATCATTCAGCAAGTATGACTGAATGTGTAAGAAGAAAACCAAACAACTGACAAGCAAAATTAGAAGGAAAAGACAATTTCACAAATTTCTAGCACGACAAAGTTTTAAAGACAGATATCTGATTCTTAAGTTTCAAGTAAAAAAAAAAAAAAAATTAAACAAAAAAAAAAAGGAGAAAGCAACTTATTTTTACGGTTAGTTTTTCTGCTTGAGGTTCCAATAATATGAATATTGAAATTTGCATGTATAATTACAAAAGTTAATAATAGGAATCTTAAAACCATCAGTTAAGTGTCATCATGTAGATAGTATGATTCAGTCTCATATCTGGTATGTGACATAAGGAAGCAGTAGAATCTTTAATATTCATCCAATAATCTCCTCAATTAAATTATGGCGGATACACAATCTTGAAAATGCACATCTACTGCTAAGTGAAGAATTTAAACACCTTAAAATAGTTCTAACTTAGAGAATCCAAGTACCTTCCAATGTATCTTAGAGACTTTGATGATGATCCATCCGTAGGGAACTTGCATTTTTCAACATACCTGTTATTTGGAGGAGAATATCAAGACCATATAACTAATAGAAAATAAAAGATTACTGCATTGAGTTCCACATACTTAGTTGTTGGACCATCCCAATTCTTGGCATTTCCTTCATTTACTGAGTAGATCTTTCCTTTTTTAGGAATCTTCATAGAAAGGCATATGATGAATGAACGTCAGGCCACTCAGAAAGTATACCAGGTCAAATGTGCAAAAAAATGGAACAGTTCAAAATATATGGAAATGCACTTCAGGTCAAAACATGATAGATAACACGGTATAACTTTAGTAAATTATGGAAACAAAATGTTCAACTAACAAATATCCAGGTCAACTGGCTGAACACACCAGAGAAGATGTGTTGAACCCATTGTCTCACAACTAGAGAATTCTAGCATAGTGACAAATACAGAGAATTCTAGCATAGCGACAAATACTTAGTGACCAAAAAAAATTACTGAATGGATGCGAAAAGAAAAGTTTCAACGTGCAACCAGGCTAGTATTTACAAAAAATTGGATGTCTTTGAGAAATGGGAGATAAGAAACTTACCTTAATGTCTGGATGAGTGAGTATAAACTCCCCAAGAGATGGATCAAGAGTAAATCCATTAACACCCTCTCCAGTGCTTAACACAAGCTGCAAAATCATTATATTCTTTTTAGTTTTGGGGCAATAAATTGGGCAAATAATACACAAGAAAGCAACTCTTCATACCGTGCAAGAGCTTCCATACATGCAATATCCAGCAGCCAGCATATTCTTTCCAGGTTGCAGCACCTCATCTAAAGTTGGTTCTCCACCATCTTTCAACATATAAATCCCAAAGATCTAGATGAAAGAGAAGACATCCAATTGATCACTGCAATATCAAGTTATTCTTGAACAATATTTCTGTTGGTACAAGAGTCCATTATAACAATCATAGAGCAATAGCAAATTTTTAGGTTTAGAGCTATACCGTTCCAATGGAAACAGAACAATCAATGTTAGAGGACCCATCTAGTGGATCAAAAACAACACAGTACCTGCACCATCAAAACAAATTGATTGCAGAAATATTCCATGAAGATATTGATAACATTCCAACTTTCAAACATAAAAAAAAGAAGGGTGGAGAACTAATCAACAAGAGAGAGAATCAGTAGTCACCTCCCGCGCTTGGGTGCCTCAACAAATATTGCCTCCTCATCCTCTTCAGAGACAAGGATGGACTAGAAGAAGATTCACACATTTCAGAAGAAAATTATAACATGCTCAGTTAATTTATGTCAAAATATTCTCCATAAACTTACTGTTCGGCCACTGCTGACCAAGGCCTTGACGAAAACTTCATTTGAAAGCACATCTAGTTTCTTTTGCTCTTCACCCTTAAGTTAAAAGAGACAAATAACCTCATATGAATATCAGAAAGAAGTTTAGGTTAGTGAAAAAGAATACAACAATAAGAACAGACTGTTAAATTGCTTAAGAACTTCGTAGCATGCCTGCACGTTGGTTTCGCCAGCAAGTCCAATGAGTTTAGCAAGACCCGCCTGCACAAGTGCACTTGTAGAATAAGAATGCAATGCAAAAAAATTAAAACTCAAACAACAATCACAGGCTCATTTTCTCTATTGAGAACCAATTTTGTAATAACTATTTCCTTGGGTAAGACAATAAATGTATTGTCAAAGTCTTGTGGGTGTCAACAAATTTGACGTAATAATTTCTTTCTATGAATTGACACTTTCTTTGAATATATAATTATAATTATGCAGAATGCATAAAATACCCAACTGCTGCCCTGTTTGGTAGCTGAGATACCGGAGAAAAAGAAAAGAACAACTTAAACTATATGTCTCCTGTTGATAAGAATTTCGCTAAGCCAGTTGTTTCAATTTTGCCTTTGTATGAAGTAAATGACTAAAATTGTATACTTCACATTGAAGTTCCAAATTCCTCCTGCTAACCGATTAGATTGTAAAATGGGCATAAAAAACAACTTCAAATATCTTCTCGCCTATGTTGCTTCAAAAACTTCATTCCCCTCAAAAGATGAAGGACATCTACCATTTTTTTTGTTTTTTTTTAAAGAATGCAAGCACATAACAAAGGTCCCGTTTGGTGTAGCTGTTAAAATAGATTATAGATTATAACTTAACAGATTATAGATTATAACTTTAATCAAAAGTTGTTAATCTGTTTGGTGTAGCTGTTGGATTATAGATTTAAGTTGCTGAGTAATGTTTATTAAATAAGCTGTGAAGTAGCTTTTTCAATTAACTTTTATTTTTTTGTTATTCACTACTTATCTACATTTCTCATAAAAAATAATAATAATATTCTATAGTCCATTTGGGTCTTTTCCTATTTTTTAAAAAATAAAAAATAAAAAAATCTAAGAGTATAACCGTAAATTAACATGACCACAGTAGAAGCTGATAATCAGAAACAAGGGTGAGCAGCTTTTCAGAATCAGCTTTTTTGACTTAGAATAAGAAGCTGTTTGAAATAAGTTTAACCAAACAGTCCAAAATAACTTTTCAAAAGCCAGAAGTTATAAGTTGACTCAGAAAAGCCTAAACAAACACCCTCAAAAATAGGCTTACAGTTATATTCATGCGTAGATGTTACATCATATACACATTTATACGAGTGAACACATTCATACACACATAGGGCTTCAAATGAACAGAGCCGTTCGTAAGTAGACTCGAGCTCAGCTCAGCTCAGCTCAGCAAGGACTTGTTCAAACTCAGTTCATTAAATTTTTATTGCATTCGAGCTCAAGCTCATTAAAATCTTAATAAACAAGCTCAAACATACTAAAACTCGGCTCGTTTAACATTTATTTAAATAATAGAATAAATATATTATTTATATATTAAATGATGTATAAAAAATTGAATAACTTTGTTATTTATATATTTAAATAATATAGATAATAGCTAAATTTATTTATATGTAAATAATAGCAAACTATAGATAATGCATTATATAATAGTGGTGGTAGATATTATTATTTTAGTAATATATTTTATTTTTTTTGATAATTTTTTTTTTAATATATTATTTTAGTAATATATTTTATTTTCTTTTAGCATGTTTATATATATTGTATAATCAAAATTTTAATTGTAACTTTAGTCTCAGACACAAGTATGAATTAATAATTTCTTTGCCTCGTTAAGGCTCATGGATAGGCACAAGCTCAAGTCAAGCATAAGCCAACTCAACTCGAGCTCGGTTCATTAAATTTTTATTGAACTCGAGCTCAAGCTCGCTAAAATCTTAATAAACAAGCCCAAACATATTAAAGCTCGGCTCGTCTGTAGCCCTACACACACGTGCATATGCACAACCATTCTACTAAAATGAGCTATCCATATTTGACATCAAAACAATGGGAAAGGCTACTATGCACACCCCTAAAAGGGCTGCGTATGGTACTCCCTTTAGAAACTACACCACAAATATTCAAAACATGAATACAAAATGCCATAACTTTTCCCACCACATTGAAAAAATATTACAAAAAACACAATATTTATAACATAATCCTAAACCGTTTTCTTATGGTGCCAAGTTTGTAACTACACTACAAAAATTCATAAATTTTACCACAACAAAGTTCATAACTTTGTTACAATAGAGGTGTGCATAGTAGTAGCCTTTTCCCAAAAGAAATTTTAAAAATTGAAGAACAGGGGACCAAAGGAGGAATAAGATATAAAAAAAATGGATTAATTACACAAAAAACCCTAGGGTTTCGCGCCTTTTTCATTTTAAACCCTAGATTTTCAATTTCGACAAATTAAACCCCATCCTTCCACCCGTGTTTCAATCTGGCCCCTCCGTCCATCTCCATCATATTAAACTAGCGAAAATCTGGGCAGAATTTCATATTCAAACCCACATGTTCAAGCACTTGTATCTCCCCCGTCGTAACTCCGTTTCGCCTCATTTTTGCGTCGTTAAATTCACCTCACAGCCTAGTTTTCATTCCAACTCTCATATGCCTTGTTCAACCTCTTTTTCCATGCCGTCAAAGCTGTGAAAGTTGGTTAAAAATAAATTTTTTCTCTCTTTGGGCAAAATTTTCATATTCAAAATCACATGTTCAAAAACTTGTATCTCCCTCGTCGTAACTCTGTTTTGCCTCATTTTTGTATCGTTGGATTCACCTCATGACCTAATTTTCATTCCACCCCTCATACGCCTTATTTCACCTCTTTTCGTGTGCTGTCAAAGTTTCGAAAGTTGGCCAAAAATAATATTTTTCTCTCTTTTTTTCCTTTCTTCCTTTATCTTCTATCTCGATGCTTCTTCCTTCCTCCTTCCTTTCCACAATTATTCTCTTTTTTCCTCTTCCTTCATGGCCCTTCCACCGAGCTCGTGGTGGCCACCGAACCTCCGACGGTGGCAGTGCCGTTGAGTATGGAGGTATATGACTTACAAGAAGAGGAAGAAACGTAAGGGCAGGGGAAAGGCCATGAAAGAAGAGGAAAAGAGAGAATAATTATGGAAATGATGGAGGAAGGAAGAAAGAAGAAGCATGGAGATAGAAGATAGAGGGGAGGGAAAATAAAAATCTTATTTTCGGCCCATTTTCGAAGCTTGAGCGGCACACGAAAAGAGGTGGAACAAGGCATATGAGGGATGGAATGAAAACTAGGCCATGAGATGAATCCAACGACATGAAAATAAAGCGAAACGGAGTTACGACGAGGCAGATACAAGTGCTTGAATATGTAGGTTTGAATATGAAAATTTTTCCCAAAAGGATAAATTTTATTTTTTGCTAAATTTCGGAGCTTGGACGGCATGCAAAAAGAGGTGAAACAAGGCATATGAGGGATGAAATGAAAACTAGGCCATGATGCGAATTTCACGACGCGAAAATGAGGCAAAACGGAGTTACAACGAGGGAGATATAAGTTTTTGAATATATGAGTTTGAATTTGAAAATTTTGCCCAAAGAAAGAAAAATCTTATTTTTAGCCAACTTCGGAGCTCCAACAGTGCGCAAAGAGAGGTAGAACAAGGCGTGTGAGGGGTGGAATGAAAACTAGGCCGTTGGGTGAATCCAACAATGTAAAAATGAGACGAAACGGAGTTATTTTGAATCTAAAATTCTGCATAGATTGTTGGATGGAGGGAGGGGCCAGATTGAAACACGGATGGAAGGATGGGGTTTAATTTGTCAAAATTGAAAATCTAGAATTTAAAATGAAAAAGACTCGAAATCTTAGGGGGGTTTTTTTGTGTAACTACCCCTAAAAAAATATATAGTTTTTCATTGTGCCCTTCATTTGCTTTTCTTGCACTCATCGCCAATACAATTTCATTCTAATAAAATGAAAGAATCAAACAAGACAGAACATTTCAAATCAATTTGAACACAAACTAAAGCTACAAAAGATGAACAGTTTCACAGTAGAAGACAGAGCAGTTAAAATCAATTTGAAACACAAAAGAATACCTTGTTGACAGAAGAGCAAACAAACTTGCAACCAAGAACAATGTGACTGAGCAAGATGGTGAAATCGCCGCGTGACTCCGGGTGCTTCGATTGCTCGTTCAGCACGAACCGGGTAATCGTCATCAAATCGGTCCTCAGAGCATCCGCTGCGTGATCCATCTCCGACTACACTTTAAGTTCTAGGTTAGGTTTTTTTTTTTGGTGTGGATTGGTAGATTCTATGCTATATTCTATATATAGAGAGATGATGATGATGAATTACGCATTTCGAGGACTGGACACGAACCTTTTGGGATATGCTGAGTAGACGATGACAATAACTAGATATATATATATATATATATAGAAAGAGAGAGAGAGATAATGAAATATAGACTAATGTGGGAGATAGGGGGCTATCTGATGTCAGTGGAAGTTTCGGATGACACGTGGTGGCACTGCCGTGAATGAGGGTTTAGTGGTCTTCACTGAGGATAACGCCTTTCGTCGCCTTCCGTTGCTGTGATTTGGCCGCTGTTTGGGTTTTCTTTTCTGCTGTTCGAAGTTGACGATGTGGAGTACCTGAGACGCAATTTACAATACTTTTTATTTATGTAACGTGACGGTGGTTTTGGGACGGTTTGAAAAATATTAAACGAAGGAGACTTTTTTGCAAGTTTGGTTGTTAAAGTTTTTCTTTTTAACCCGCTTCTCAATTTTCAACTCACTATTTTTTTAACAAAAATTTTTTTAAAAAATTAATATATGATTTTAATTACCCTCTTTGTTCTAAAATAGTGGTTCATTTTGAAAAATTTAAAATTTTTTAATAATACAATTATTGCACTTTTAAAAAGTTAATGTTTTAAAATTATCCTTTTGATAGTACGTTTTTTAAAAATATCAGTGTCATAATATACTTTTTATATTATTTATTAATATAAAAGAATGAAAAAATAAGAAATTTATGTTAGTTTTGTACTTTATTTTTTAAGAAAGACTAATATTTTGAAACAATAAAAAATAAATAAAAGACTAATATTTTGAGACGGAGAAAGTACCTTTTCAAAACACCAATTTATTGATAAACCAACCAAACTTCTGCCGTTGTACCCAAAAAGATAAATAAATAAGCAATTCAAAGGATTAATTATTTATGTTTGATTTAAAATTTTTAATAAGTTTTAAGATTTGTTTAAGTTAAGTTGTTAAATTTTCAGGCAATCTTATATAAATTTGTATTAAGTCGAATTTAAATAGTTTAATATTTTTATGTAGTTTTATACTTAAGTTTATTGAAAGCAAATAAATTTAACTAAAAAAAGAAAAAAATTTATTAAAGACAAAAAAAATAATAGTAAACTTTGCATTTCATAATTGACAATATACTTAAGTCAATATATTTTCATTTTTTTTGTCTTTAGTAAACTTTTTTCTTTTTTTAATTAAATTTGTTTTATTTTTTTAGGTGCATCTAATTTAGGTGTATCAATAATGTAATAATGTTTATGAATAAATTTGAAAAAAAAAAAATTCACTAAAGACTAAAGAAAAATTCAATTTTTTTGTTTTCTATTTTTCACTTTTTACATTTTTATTGAATTTTTTACATTACACATGAACCTGATGTGTTGATGATGTAATAAATTCTGTCATTTTTTTGAATGGAAACTGGAAATGATTGCAAATATAAATGTTCAAAGTGAAAAAGATTACAAATATAAAAGGTCAAAATGAAAAAAATCAAACTTAAAGGACCAAAATAAAGAAATGAATGAAACTTTAGGAAAATAAAGTATAATTTACCTTTTTTTTCTTTAAACGTTTGACTCTTTATCCTGTGTTTTGAGTGATGATAAACGAACCAGATTTCTCTCCATTGTACCCAAAAAGAAAAATAAATAAACGAATCAAACGATAGAGTGTTTAAGTCTGATTTAAAAATTTTAATAAGTTGTAAGATTTGTTTAAGTTTAGTTTGTTTAATTTTTAAGTAATTTCAAATGAGATTTTATCGAGTCGAACTTGAATAGTTTAATATTTTTATGTAGTTTTAGACTTATCGGACTAAGGCAAACAAGTATTTGATTGTTCAAATTTGATTTGAAAATTTTAACGACCTCCAAAAGGTGTTCAAACTTAACTTTTTCACTTAACGAACTGGACTTGAATGAACTTTTATCGAGCCACAAGTGAGTAAAGCTTGAACTGCTTGGTTTGTTTATCACCCTTAATTTTAAGTGGGAATTTGAAAAATCATCTAAGCTCACCACATCTCTAAATATTTAAAATATGAGACTGGTTTCTCTCCAATCTAAAATTTGATTAAAGAGGTATTGTTTGATTCATTAGGTCTACTTTTAGGTTATGTTTTGATAATCCGAATCGTTCATATTTAAAATTCGTTTAGTGCATCATCCTTACAAAAAATCAAGTCGATCGGACAATAGCAATCACATGTTCGGATCAGTTTTGTATGAAAAAAATATATGGACGGTGATAAAATAAGCGGTTTATACAAAATTGATCCGAACATATAGTTTTTGTTTTTCGATCAACTTAATTTTTTAAATAGATGATGTACTCGACAAACTCTAAAATGTGAATAATTCGAATCATCGAAATGAAGTCCAAAAGTAAGCCCAATAGGCTGGACTGAACTATCTAATCCGATTTAGGACTAGAGACCGTTTAGACTTTTAAAATATCACAAACATTGTTAACATCATTTGTGAATTACAAATTATTATTATAACTCTACTAAAAAATGTTGGGGAATTTTCAAAATAGGTTTTCAAAATTTATTATTTAGTTTTGGGTGTTTTCAAAACCTTCCTTATTTTTCCTTAAAAAACTTGAAATAAGCTTTGGGACTTTGTCCCACATCGGAAAGAGAGGAAAATATGGAGTACTTAATAAAGTGTTATATGAAATATTCCTTTAAATATGGAATTGTGGGGTGGATGCTAGTGTGCATGCACTCACACCATAAGGATATATGGTGCTTCACACCTGCACGGCGTGGGTAGTGTGGCGCATGAAGGTGATGTGGAATATCGTTGGCGATGAGTCAATCAAATCGATTGAACAGTTGCGTGTTTGATCATGTCTATGAATAGACTGCGAAATCAACCATATCAATCCATTTAAAATTCAAAGATCATTCCTGCAATTCTCTCTCTCCCTTCCTCTCTCTCCCTCTTGATTTAGAGTTCACGATCAAAGATTTATTGAGCAAGTTTATGCTTTTCTTATTGATAATCAAATTCTGGAAACTTGATTATCAGTGTTTTGGTTACTCTTGATCAAGTTTCTACTTTTCTTATTGATAATTAAATTCTGCAAACTTGATTATTAGTGCCATGGTTTTCTTAATTATATCAAAAGTATTCTAATCTACTGTCGTCAGTGATTATATCAAGAATAAGTGTTTTGGGTTTCTTGATTATATCAAGAGCGTGCATATGCTGGTAGACTTGATTTTTAAATCATGTTTCATTGTATTTTGGAAGCGAATTTGCTGTAACACCCCGCATACCTTTTGGTGAGTACAAATATTATCTTTAGAAAAGTGACCAAGTAACGCGACTTGAAGTACCAAATTTCTGTGCAAATTTTATTTTTAGGAAAGCGACTAACTATTGCGACTTGATGCACAAAATTTATGTTATACATAAACAAGATCATCGTCAAATTTTGAAAACCCAAAAACCATCAACTGAAAAATTCAAGACGAATTATTCCAACAAAAATACATAATATTTGTCCTAAAAATAAATATATCCTAAAAATATATATTTCAAAGGTGCATATATATATCGAGTGTATTCCTGGTTTTGATTTTCAATAATTATGTTTTAAATAGAAAATAGTTTCACAAATTTAAATACTAAAAGAAAATTTTTGAATTTTTAAAATTTATTTGTACTCTCTAAAAAATTAAATTGCATAAAAATGATGTTTTTTTTTTTATCTATTTTAAAAATTAAAAAATAAATTCACAAAACCAAACCAAACCTTCCAACCCTAGGTTCAAATGCCCGACCCAAAATCCGAATCCACGCGGCTCAAACTTTGCCTTCAAAATCATAAACGATTCGGATCCACACCAGACCTCAGCTCGTTCTCTGATATTGTGCTGAAGAGCAGTCACCGAAAGCGTCACGCCCTCTCCGATCACAGCCCCCCCAGGTCATCTTCTTCACCTCTTTGAAACCCTAATTTTTTACCGTGTCTTTTTTTGTGTTTAGTTCTTAATTAGCACAATTCTATTCAATACTGAATTAAAACATTAAGTTGAAGAAATTTCTGCTGTGAAGCTTCTTGTGGAAATTGAATTAATCCTTTGCATTTTTGTAATACATTTGAGCTCAAATTTGTTTCAGTGATGTAGACACAACACCATGATGATCACTTAAAATAATTGAGGATGATTTTTTCTGGAATCCAATTTTTGGGATTTAGGAAAGTCCATTAAAAGATGAAAAACCTCTTTGAGTTTTATTTTTTAATTTTTCTTTTTGCGCATGCGCTTTCCATTTTGGGAATTTGCATGATACCCAACCCTTTTTGTGGTTTTGGATCATGACTTTGTTATGACTTATTGCAGTGTTAGTTGATAGTGATTATAATATTATTTTGATTATGATTCAAAAAAGTGTTTGGTTATATTTTACATGGTTTGGTAATGACTCACTTTTTTTTAGTTATGATTGAAAATATCTAGTTATGACATTTGTGATAATCGATACTACAAATATTATAACTTGCATACAAAAGGGTGTGTACCATAGCATGAACCTTCCATTTTACTTGTGAAAATCTCATTTTGACATTGTTTGCTTTTCTTTTCGTTTCTTTATTTTATTGTATTTATTTTTTTCTTGTTTTATACTAATGAATGGCTTCATTCAAGAAGCCCTGCTTAAAGCCAAAATATTTTTTTCTTTTAAGCTTATTGATTATGACATATTTTATGTAGTATTGTGTTACTAGAGCTTTCCATTATTGTTTAAACCATTTTTCAGTGATGCCGCAGCTAACAAATGCAAGTTGTTGTTTCCTCACAACATTTTATTTATTTGTTTATTTTTGCAGTTGATAAAGAGAAAGTAAAATCTCAGAAAGTTGAATTTGCAATGTTTGCTTTGTTTCTTCATGCTTTCCTTTCCCTTTACACGGCCATAATCTCCTACAATACTGCAGATATAGACAGAGAGTATAATTAGGCAGTGTTTGTCATGTATATTCTAAATAAGAATTGTCTGAAACCTAGTATGTATTCTCATCTGTCCCATCTTCATCTTCTACAATGCTTCTCTCTCTGGTCAATGAAGAAGGACCCAGATCTCGAATCAGCTCTATCTCGAAACCGTCGATGGATAGTAAATAATCAGATCAAGAACATAATTCTCCGGTACCCTAACCAGGTGGCGCCAGTTAATTTCCTCCAGAAAAAGTTCAAGACTCTTGACCTTCAAGGCAAAGCGCTCAATTGGCTGAAAAAGTACCCCTGTTGCTTTGAAGTATATCTTGTGAACGATGAGTGTTATTGTCGACTAACAAAGCAAATGATGTTTCTGGTAGAAGAGGAAGAATACCTGAAAGATTCACAAGAACCTGTGTTTGCGGAGCGATTGGCAAAGTTGCTAATGATGAGCACAAATCAGAGGCTTAGTGTTGTGAAAATTAATGAGTTGAGGAGAAATTTTGGATTTCCAGATGATTATTTGATTAGAATTGTACCCAAGCACCCAGAAATGTTTCGAATCATTAATTACAGCGGGAGACGGAGTTCAATGGAGATTGAGCTTGTGTCGTGGAACCCTAATTTAGCAGTTTCTGTAATTGAAGCAACTGCTCGAAAACAAGATTCGGAACCTTGTTTTTCATGTTCATTGCCTTCAACCTGGGTAAAATCATGGGAGAGATTTCATGAATTTAATTCAACTCCATATATTTCTCCTTACTCAGACCCCAGAGGTTTAGTGGAGGGTTCAAAAGAAATGGAGAAGAGAACAGTGAGTTTGGTACATGAATTACTGTCACTGACCCTGTGGAAGAAAGTGTCAATCATGAAGTTAGGTCATTTTAGAAGAGAGTTCTGTTTACCAGAAAAATTGAATGTTTTATTACTTAAGCATCCTGGCATATTCTATGTCTCAAATAAGTATCAGATTTACTCAGTTCTCCTTAGAGAAGGATATAATGGGTCAGAATTGATTGACAAGAATCCACTTGTTGTTGTGAAGGACAAATTTGGGGAACTGATGCAGGAGGGGCTTCACGAATATAATCGGAGGCACCATTTGATGAATTTGGAAAAGAAGAAGAAGAAAGGTATGATTTTGAGAAGACCAAAGGAAATGAAGGATCCAAGCACTGATATGAGTGAACAAGCTGATCAGGGAGGAGACCTTGGTGGTATATTTGACCCTGAAGAAAGAAAACGGTTCTATAAAGTTCTCTTCGATGACAATGCCCCATAAGTTTTATACAGACTACAGAGGTATGATATATGCATCATACAATCAAGGTTTTGAATTTAGCTCATGAGTCCATATTTTTCTTAGTAATCATTGATCTATTTTTTTCATCTTAAGTTCATTTTGTAGCAGATAACACTAATTTGTCAGTGAGTTTAGAATGACTTATGTTTTCATTCTGTTTAATGATAACATGCACTTTGACTGCATTTTTTACGCTGACTTCCACCTGGGTTGTGAAGTTGTGTATGCCTTGGAATTTAGAACAGAGATGTTCCATAACATAAAGAAATATATACTTTTGATCTCTCTTTGGCTTGTTGGCTTCCGTTGGCTCTTTCCATTTGGGACCCGAATTTTGGGTTTTTTTTGCCTGTTGTGGTTTGCAACCCATGGTCATGGACACGGTGGTGCTTCAAACCCTCTTTTTGTGTTACTAGAGGACTACTCTGTTCCTTTTTCACCATGCTAAATTTTGGAATATGGGGGAGAAAGGGGTGTTGGGTGGTGGAGATAGAGGAGAATTTGGGAATTGATGATGTTGATGATATATTATTAGTAGGGTATTCTGGAAATACTCTCTGTATACAGTTGACTTCAAATTGGTTAGATTTTTTTTTTTATGCAAAAGAAAGGTTTTGCTGTGAGCTTTTGAGGTTTTAAGGCACACTCAATTGTATTCTAAATCTCTAAACAATTCCAAACAGGTGACAGGAAATATTTTATGTGGTTTTTGTATGTGGTTATAAAATGTAGGGCTCTGCAAAATACCGCCCAACTCACTAAAACCGCACCGATCCGCATCAATCCGTACCCGCTCTAGCCGCTAATCGCGGTTTAAACTTTAAAATTTATAATCCGCCAACCGAACCGCTCCGCTTCGCTATAGTTAATACATATATATTTTTTAAATTCCAATGAAATATCAATGTAAAAATGAGTGTGAGAGAGATTTAAGATATAAAATTTATTACAAATTAGTGGTTATATATATGAATTAGTAGTTATATATATGAAACATATTACTCCCTCCGTCCCATAATATTAGTCCCTTATTCCATTTTTTATTGTCCCAAAATATTAGTCCCTCTTCAAAAATCAAGTACAAAAATAATATAAATTTCCCATTTTGCCCTTATTTTAAATTCATAAATAATATAAAAAGTACAATTATGACATTGATATTCTCAAAAAAGTGTACTATCAAAGGGTAATTTTGAAAAACTAACTTTTTAAAAGTACAATAATTGTACTACCAAAAAAAGTTGGATTCCCCAAAAGGGACCATTATTTTGGGACAGAGGGAGTATGTAAAATTACTTTGTGTTATATATTTAAAAAATATTATACAAATTAGTATTTTATATTATGCAAATGCATGATAATTAGTTAAAATATTCTTCAATCCGCAAAAAACCGTCCAAACCGCAATTTGTCAATCCGCTAACCCGCTATTCGGTTTGTAATTTTACTCTCAAACCGCCCGAACCGCACCGCGCACACCCCTAATAAAATGGTTAACATCAATTTTATAATGAAAAGATGAAGAAGAAGGAAAAAGAGAAGAAGAAGAAGAAGAAGAAAGAAACAGACACGAAAAAACGGGGAAATGGATTCGTATTCATGCTGGACACCTGAAACATAAAATCTGAACTTTCAACCTCCTTAGTGCATATCTGGAGTTCAGTTGTACTAGACGGCCATATCTCTGGTAAAGGAAGCTGTGGTGACTACATATTATGAAATTTCGCATTTGTCTAATCTGGTTCGCTACCAAGTTGTGGAGACATGGTCATGTAGCTTCACCATTTCCCTTATCCAGGGCTGTAAAATTTCGATATATTTCTAGACTTGGGTTTGGAGACAAGCGCTGCTTCATTAAACAGCACTGCTGGTGCACGTTAGTGTTACCAAGGGACTTGTCAAGCTCTTAAAGGGCAAAATCTATGTGCTCTATGGAGAATCACCCAATGATTTTGTTAAATTTATTTAGTCACATTTTCTTGATGCGTGATTTTGTGGGTTTTCTTTTTCTTATATTTTTAGACGGTGGAGGTTTGCTTATCCAACCTCACAAGATTAGAAATTACACTCAGTCCAAGGAAAATTGAGGCAGCAGAAATTTGTTTTAGTAATGCTAAAATAACATTGAGGAGCTGCTGGGTTTTTTTTTTTTTTTTGGCTGGTAGGTAAGCTATTGGCATTTTTAATTGCCATGAAGGAAGATTTGGTTAGTATACTAAGAAAAATTGTATTGCTTCTTGATTTTCTTTTTCATTGATGGGCTATATATATATATATTGATGCCAAATTTGAAGATTTAATTTTGAAAGCATCTTATGTTGGACCTGTGTCCATGTAATCTGGAGTCTGCATATTTGTGACCACCAAAATCTTGAGTTGTTTCTATGCTTGTTTGTCTTAGATGAAATTGTCTAGTAAATCCAACTGCTGGATACATCTACTAGGCTTTCTAATTTCTATACCTTTCTGCATTTTTCCTAGATTAATTCACCAATGTATAATCAGGCTAATAAATTGACGAAGTCTACATTCCCTATTGTCCTATTTAGATCAAAATTTAATTGTGCGCGATGCCATCCATGTGCATGTAAGCACATAAAAGGGCCAAGATGATCCCTATTTTATGCATTCATTGCTGTATCTTATCAAACGTGGACTTTTTGAGAGGTACCCACTTGAAACACCTCGTTTTTGTACCCTTTCAGCATTCAAGAAGTCATATATCCTCTTATTTTTTTAAAGTCCATATCTCTATTGCCTTTCCATGATGGTGAAAGAATCATGAAGATTCTTTCATGCTTTTTACCTCAGTGGCCTCACTAGTTCAAGATTGTGAATATGTGCATGTCCTCTCTGTTGTAAATAGCCCTGTATGTAATGTAAAAGTAGTTAAAGGTAATTCAGACTGGATGTGTTCATTGGCTCATTGCTGAATCATGAATGTGTATCAAATTTCAGATATTATGGTTTGTACAGTACTTCATTTTTTCTGCTTCAAGATCTATGGAGGTTTTGTCATATTAGTATAATTACTTGTTATGACATTAATTCCAAACACTCTTGTGTGCACCTGCACTCAAATAAATGCTTTGGAGTTTGAAACATTGAATTATTTGTTATGATGCAATTATGCAGGTGTTGAACTTGATGAGAAGAACTTCCTGCCCAAATACAAAGGAGGGACCAGAATCGCTGATTGGAACTTAACATATTGATTGCAGCAATTTGCCTAGTTTGGTGGGTAATGTAAATCTAGTCTTCTACTGTGAGAGACTAGCTGGTTGGTCAGAATGAAAAAAATGCAGAATTGCACCTTGTTTCCAGTGGAAGCAGAAAAAAATGAACTGGAAGCATTTGGGTGTTGAGGCTGTTGGGATGTGAGATATGATGGTCATCTGAATGGAAATACGATAAAGTAAATGGAAGTCAATGAAGAAAAACCTGGAAGTGCCAAAAGAGAAGCCGATGAAGTAATGCTCCACAAATCTGGACGTTATTTGTATGATTGCAGAACTTGGGATGAAAATATAGGGAGAAGTTTCGAGTCAATTGGCAAACTTCGGTGTGTCCACACTGGTGCCAAGCCTGAAGATGAAGTTAGATCTTGTGGAAGAAACAATTTTGCTTGCAAGCTTCAGTGCTGCTTATAACACATGTGGTGTTGAAGAAACTTATTACTATTGTATGCATTATTGTAATATATTCATGTCATTTCTTTAAAGACTAAACCATCCAAACATCTTCCTGAAAACACATCCAAGTCCTGCATTCAAATCTAGTATAAATTTCCATTCCAATTACTATTCCTGTTAACATGCATTTTTTAATCCAATATTGGCCCTATTTAGTAAGGCTTACTTCAACTTTTAACTTAAAGATTGTTTGAATTGTCCTAAATAAATATATTTTTTGTTTTTTTAAACTAAAAAATTGAAATTGAAAATATAAGGCTCTGTTTGGTTGTGAATTGAAAATGTAATTCTACATGTGTGTTTCAATATGATGTTTGGTTGAGTGTTTGGAATCAATTTTCAAAATCTCTGCCGAGAGCTCTGTGCATCAGTAGCGTTTTTTGTGATTTTTTTGCCTCAGGGAAGACCGCCTGGATGTCCATGGGGTCTTCCACCCGAACGTCCCTAGGGACATCCGCCCGAATGTCCTCTGCTGCACAGATTTTTTTTTTTTGCAATTCATTTATATAATCGGGAAAAATATTTTTTGAAAATTTTTAAATTTTTTATGTGCTTTAAAATAATTTTGAATTGTATGTTTAGTTATGAGTTATAAATTTTTGTATCACATATCAAATGTCACATCAACAATTCTCCAATCAAATCAAACCTCTTTTCCAAAATTATTTTCAAAACTCTTTACCAAACAAATTTTCTACACTCAAATCATAATTCTACAACACAAACTCAAAATATAATTCATACTCTCAAATCACATTTACAAAACACAACAAAACGCAGGCTAAATATTTGTATTAATTTTTTAACTTTTTATGAAAAAATATATATTAAAAAATTGTATAAATTAATATTAGAAATTATGCAGTATGATGTTTGGTTGAGTGTTTGGAATCAATTTTCAAAATCTCTGCCGAGAGCTCTGTGCATCAACAGCTTTTTTTGTGATTTTTTTGCCTCAGGGAAGACCGCCTGGATGTCCATGGGGTCTTCCACCCGAACGTCCCTAGGGACATCCGCCCGAATGTCCTTTGCTGCACAGATATATTTTTTTTTTTAATATAATCGGGAAAAATATTTTCTAAAAATTTTTAAATTTTTTATGTGCTTTAAAATAATTTTGAATTGTATGTTTAGTTATGAATTGTAAATTTTTGTATCACATATCAAATGTCACATCAACAATTCTCCACTCAAATCAAACTTCTTTTCCAAAACTATTTTCAAAACTCTTTACCAAACAAATTTTCTACACTCAAATCATAATTTTACAACACACAAACTCAAAATACAATTCATACTCTCAAATCACATTTACAAAACACAACAAAACGCAGGCTAAATATTTGTATTAATTTTTTAACTTTTTATGAAAAAATATATATTAAAAAATTGTATAAATTAATATTAGAAATTATGCAACTATAATTGTTAACTTTTGATAAATAACAATAACTTTTTAATTTTTTAAATAATTTTTTAAAAACTTTCCAAACTTGGCTTTAATTTAAACTATTTTAATATATTTAATTTAACTTAACAATATAATTTATAACTTTTTATAAGTTAAAAATTAACTTATTCTTTGAGTGAAAAAAAAAATTTAATTTATAAGTTAAAAATCAATTTATGTTCATAATTATAAATTATAAACTATTAGATTATAAATTACAATCACTTTCTCGTAACTTTATCAAACATTATCAAACAGGCCGATTATACAAATCCAAAAGAAAAATAGCAATGAAGGCCCTATCAGATTAGATTCCTTCTTTGAGTGTATCCCTGTTGTTTGTGATTCACAACCAACATATAAGAACCACTTTCACAATGTTAACTAACAAGCAAAAGAGTAAAACACCCCTTTTCTGAAGAAAAGAAAAATAAAAAATGGTTTCCAAATAAACCTCAAGCTTTCAACATACTGAAGCACTTAATTTCCAACCAAATGACCAGACAAATGAAATTCAACATACAGAAATTTCCATTTCAGTTTATCAAATGAACAAAAAGTTCACTAAACAGTTGCCCTAACTTCATCAAAACAATAAAGGGTAGTGAGACTGAGAAATTGAAACTAAGAAGACAGTCATTTTAGCAGAAACCCTAACTGGAGAAGAAAGAAAAACCAGAGCGGTCCACAAATCAAGCTCTCTCCCCTCTAATCCTCCTGGCGAGCTGAATATCCTTAGGCATAATCGTAACCCTCTTAGCATGAATCGCACAAAGATTCGTATCCTCAAACAACCCCACAAGGTAAGCCTCAGCAGCCTCCTGCAGAGCCGCCACAGCGCTGCTCTGGAACCTAAGGTCAGTCTTGAAGTCCTGAGCGATCTCTCTGACCAGCCTCTGAAATGGAAGCTTTCGGATCAGAAGCTCAGTGCTCTTCTGGTACTTCCTTATCTCCCTCAGCGCCACCGTCCCCGGCCGGAACCTGTGGGGCTTCTTCACTCCTCCGGTCGCCGGAGCTGACTTCCGGGCAGCTTTGGTCGCCAGTTGCTTCCTGGGTGCCTTGCCGCCGGTGGATTTTCGGGCAGTTTGCTTGGTACGTGCCATTGTAGAGAGAGAAAGTGATAAAGAATAGGGTTTCTGGTGTTTGGTTTGGTGATGTTGGATGTAAATATGCAGACATTGGATACATATATAGAGAGAGAGAGAGAGCGAGAGAGGGGAGAGAGCGAGAGAGGGGAGAGAGGGAGAGGTGGTGAAATTTGAAATGTTTGGAGGAAAAGTTGGCGCGAGTGAATTTGGACTGTTGGATGTGTGGAGGAGTGAACGGATGGGATTCGGTTTTCTTGGGAGCACACGGATCGCGATCCTTGTGCCTTTGATTCCTTTCCTTTTTCAGACCTTTTGTAAATACTTTTTCTACATTCCACTGATATGTAGCTCTCCTTATTTTTTTATATAGTAATATGTGTCGTTGAATTTTGAAAAATGTGGAATTATTAAAAATTTTATACAAAATTTATAATAAAAAATGCCGTGGGACAGTAAGATATTTGGTTAAATCAAATTATGTCAAGCAAGTTATTTTAAAATTCATTCATTCAAGAATAATTATATTTGTTTAGCAGTAAAAATTAAAACAATTACAAAATTTACAAACTAAGGCTCTGTTTAGTATAGCTTTTGAACGTTAGTTCTAGATTTTGATTTACACATCGTGTTTGTGTATGATTTTTAAAAATTAATTGTGTAGCTCTCCTTATTTTTTTATATAGTAATATGTGTCGTTGAATTTTGAAAATTGTGGAATTATTAAAAATTTTATACAAAATTTATAATAAAAAATGCCGTGGGACAGTAAGATATTTGGTTAAATCAAATTATGTCAAGCAAGTTATTTTAAAATTCATTCATTCAAGAATAATTATATTTGTTTAGCAGTAAAAATTAAAACAATTACAAAATTTACAAACTAAGGCTCTGTTTAGTATAGCTTTTGAACGTTAGTTCTAGATTTTGATTTACACATCGTGTTTGTGTATGATTTTTAAAAATTAATTTCGCACTCACTTTTTAAAATTCTATTGAAGGCGGAAAATTTTGGATTAACCGATTGTCCCACCAATCGTCCAGCCAGTTGACCGGAATAGTGCATAATTTTATTTTTATTTTTGTAGTTGACACATGGTAATTTTTATATATTCAATAAAAAATATTTTCGAATTTTTTAAATTTTTTTTATAAGTTTTGAATATAATTTTGAGTTATGTGTTTGGTTATAAGTTGTAAGCTTTTATATCAAATATCATATATCATATCAAAAATTCTCAACTCAATTCAAAACTCATTTACCAAATAAATTTTTCATACTCAAATCATCATTCTAAAACTCACAAACTCAAAATGCCTTAAATGGAATGAGAATCATCATTCTACATCAATATCCTCATTAAGATGCCTTAAACTAGGCCTAAGAATGCCTAGAATGGAATGAGAATGCAAAGATGCACTTTAAAAACATTTTCAGAATTTTCAGAAAACAGAGGTCCCGCTTGAGCATGGGTTTCCCCGCTCGAGCGGACATGCAAACAAAAGGCTCCGCTCGAGCATAAACTCTCCCGCTCAAGCGGACTGCAAAAGTACTAAATGTGTGAAAATCACGCTCGACACCCGCTCGAGCGTGTGACACCAGTCCTCGCTCGAGCGTGCAAAACGCGCTTGAGCGGACTGTAAACACAACAAAAGTGCTGGATACACGAATTTCCCACTCGAGCACCACTTACCCCGCTCGAGCGGGAGTCCAAAATCTGGAATTTCCAGATTTGAACTTCAAGCTCAAAATCAAGTTTTAATGCAACAAATTCGATCCTCTTGGGCCAATTTTCTGTAAAACACTTGTAAATTCAATTCAATAAAAAATATTTTCGAATTTTTTAAATTTTTTTTATAAGTTTTGAATATAATTTTGAGTTATGTGTTTGGTTATAAGTTGTAAGTTTTTATATCAAATATCATATATCATATCAAAAATTCTCAACTCAATTCAAAACTCATTTACCAAATAAATTTTTCACACTCAAATCATCATTTTAAAACTCACAAACTCAAAATACAACTTTATTTTCAAATCATATTAAGAAAATTATACCAAACGCAACTTAACTTTTTTAATGAAAATTGTTACTAGATTTTTTAAAAAACAATTTACCTAATGTAAAATTAGAGTATTGAAAATTTGTTTAACGCGTGCACAAATTATGAGCAGACTTGCTTACAAATTCATAAATTTGTAAAGATAATTGATGTCCCAACTCCATTTGTTTATACAACAATGATTCATCCCACTAAAAATATCACCACTAATAGCACTAATACATTAAAAAAGTAAAAATAAAAATAAAAAATACAACTCCAAGACCAAAACATCACATCATTAATGGCGGGACCCACTGCCACCTAATTAGTGAGAGCACTAATTAGTGCTCCCAAGCATTTTTCTTGTTTATATATGCATTTTAAAATTGTACTTCTTGTTGTACATTTGAAATCATGATATGTGTTTGATGCTAAAACAATGATATTTTTATTCAAAAATATTTAAAAGCTCTAACAATAATGTTTCAAACCTCTAAAGCAACAACTCTAATGACATGGCGGCGTGTCACGACCCAAACCTGCCCCTATGGGTTTAACACCGTAACCGGCCAGTAATCCGAGATTACTGAAGGCCTGCTTAACAGTAAGTCAGTGATACAGAGTACAGGGGCTGGCGAAAGCCAAAATAATAACAAAAGATGTCCAATGAGCTGTGACAGTCTGTATGCAAAAAGACTTTTCATATATATTCACATTCGGAACACAACAGTACATACATACATCATATACAGATATTCAGGTTTGGGACCAAATCCCTACCATAACAGTACAGTACAGGTACATATATCATTCAGTCTATACAGTGTTACAAAACCAAATACAAAAAGGGGGAAATTAAAACACCCCAAAAAGCCCTAGCTTGAAGGACTTGGAACCTGACAGTAAGGCACGGTGGTTGGCTCGACAAAACAAGAGTTAAGCTTGACACTTCTAGCAACGGTCCGGTGCCTGTACACATACATATATATATAAGCAGTGAGCTAAAGCCCGGTGAATAACATGTGCGTAAAGAGGTTAAGAATGAATGTCCTTTCAGTATTGAAAACAGTCATTTATCAGTATATCAGTCATTCAATTTGCGGCTCATAATTCATGCCATATAGTAATTCAGAAACTATAATAGTCATATGTGGTACATCCAATAGCAAAACAGTACAGTAAGTCTTAATAGACCGAACAGTCAATGATGGCCATCATATCAATAAATAGTAGTGGTTTCAACATGGGAACCGACAGAGATCTCTATGACAGTAGCAGTACAGTACACTAACAGTAGGTTACTATAGATGCCACGAATACAGTTGACAAATAGGACATCATTCATTCAGTAACAGTATCATTTCAGAAAACAGTACAGTTCAATTGTTCAGAAGATAGTCATTATTGAACATATCTTTACAACATTATTACTCACAGAGTTCTAGGCTACAAATAAGCTAGTACACGTCCTCGGATGCCAACCCTACACAGTTACAGAGTGAACACACACTAAGCTACACAGTTGGGAAATAATAACTTAATCCCTATCTTGACTCGGTGTGGTTCTACATCAATATCCTCATTAAGATGCCTTAAACTAGGCCTAAGAATGCCTAGAATGGAATGAGAATGCAAAGATGCACTTTAAAAACATTTTCAGAATTTTCAGAAAACAGAGGTCCCGCTTGAGCATGGGTTTCCCCGCTCGAGCGGACATGCAAACAAAAGGCTCCGCTCGAGCATAAACTCTCCCGCTCAAGCGGACTGCAAAAGTACTAAATGTGTGAAAATCACGCTCGACACCCGCTCGAGCGTGTGACACCAGTCCTCGCTCGAGCGTGCAAAACGCGCTTGAGCGGACTGTAAACACAACAAAAGTGCTGGATACACGAATTTCCCACTCGAGCACCACTTACCCCGCTCGAGCGGGAGTCCAAAATCTGGAATTTCCAGATTTGAACTTCAAGCTCAAAATCAAGTTTTAATGCAACAAATTCGATCCTCTTGGGCCAATTTTCTGTAAAACACTTGTAAATTCATAGTTTAACATGATTCAAAGCTCAATTTGTAAAATCAAGGCCCAAAGGTAGTTCAATTGAACACAAATTTAAACAAATTCCAAGAACATACTTCAAATGTAACATGCAAGTGTTCAATCAAATTCAAAGCTCAATTACTTGCTCAAATGAGCTCAATTGCCTAAAAAACAAGATGAATTCATGGAATAAGCTCAAGAAATGAACATGCATGTGGAATTTCACGAAGAACAACCTCAAAATGCAAGACCATGTACATGCATGCATGGATTAAGCTCCAATTCAACATTATTAGACTAAATCAAGACTCAATTCATCCATAAATCAAGAACCATACAAGAACTAACTTGAATTCACAAACAAGAAGGTAAATGTCCTACATTAGGTCTTGAATGCAAGATATGGGAGCTCAATTATGCAAATTATCCTTCAAATCTACCAATTCTCTAAGCAATTCACTAGATGAAGCCAAGTTTCTCTACTCCTCTCTCTCTCATTCAGTTTTGCTCTCAAAAAGGCTGAGGGAAATGTTGTATCAAAAGTGTATAAGGTGAAGAAAGGTTAGCCTAGATTACTCCACTAGGTGGCAAATTTGTAGATAAGTCCAACTCTTGTAATTTATCAATATTTAATTTAATTTAATCATACCAAATCACATTTCAATTAAATATATCATAAAATCATATAAATCTTAATTAGCACAAAACATCAATCAATTTCAGTTTCAGCCACCGATAAGGCCTTCAATTTGCAGTTTAAAGCATAAAACATGAACAGATAATTTAACAGTCAACAGATAGAATTGCATTCAAACTAGCACAATCAATCAATCAGTTTAGTACTTCAGTCAATCAGCTAATTAACATGCTTAATCATAGATTAGCACTAATCAGTAGTGTTATCAGTAAACAGTGCTGAGGGTTGTTACACGCCGACATGGCAACCACTGTTGCTAACTCGTCATTTTTTCTTTCTTTCTCCTTGATTTCAAATTTCAAAATCATTT